TGGAAAGTCTGCTTGTAAACTGCTGACTGCCTGAATAATTCAGATTCATAATTCAGATTATGACTTCAAGGTCTTCTGTGTGAGACCAGAATCATGCAACTAATCAATAAAGCCACATCTGTGCTGTAGGTATAATGTTCCTTTTTTTGAATTCGAGTTTGCCTTTTGACGTATCTAAAATTTTAGATTGTCAGTTTTGTTTTGGATTAATTCTTTAACATGAAGGCTGTTTGAGGTGGGAAAGCTTGAGCATGAGTTCCTAGATGACTTGCCCCGTGCTCTTGAATTTTAGAAAGTCAGCTTCAGTGTCGGTATGTGGAGTCCCAGAGCTGTGTATCTAATAGGGATTACCAAACTGCTGGTGCTGTGTCTCTTAGCATGTTTAGATGCAACTTATTTCCTCTTAATAATAATATTTCATTTACTTTCCTTTCAGGTCACTCAAAGCAAAAGTATCTCAGAGTGCAGAGGTTAATCCTTTAAAACCTAAACCATCAAATAATTGCCAGAAACAGTCTATTGTCAAAAAATTTTTGACAATAGACTGTTTGTTGAACCTTTAGACAATATATATATAAAATATATATCAAATTCTAATCTGCATATATGAGTTTTAATTTGTATCAAATTTGCTACATTAGCCATATTTTTGAAATTTAGTCATTAAAAATGTGTCATGCAATTTATATCATTTTTTGAGGGTAAAAAAAAGGTCATGCTGATGATATAGAAGTCTCAAAAACTCACAAAAACACATGTATCAAATATGATAAGCTTTAAAAAAAATGTAAAAATAGCTTTAGAGTGACACTGGGTCCCTGACCAAATAAGAATAACACATGAACAGTTGTTGCATTGAAAAAAGTCTGTATTATGCATTAGTTGATTTTTTCTATCATTACTTACTATGGCTTTATAATTATATTTATCAAAAAAGAAAAAAGATGTTGTAGTAAATTATAAGTGCTTTTCAAATAAAGAGTAGAAATGAAAGCTGCAAAGCAAAAAAGAAGACAAAAAACCCCACTGAACAAAAGTTTGTGGGGAAAAAGGCTTTTACGATGACCTTGTTAGAGATCTGAACTGTGTTGCAATTTAGTTCAACGATTAAAGTTAAAATTCTGCGGAAATTAGGTTATAATGGCTTGAAAAAGACCATTTTTAACATTTCACTTTTCAACCAAAAGGGACATCCACGTAAACAACCATTACCAGAAAACCAGATTCAGACTAGAAAATAACACTGATGCATGCCTGATGCTTGGGAGGAAAAAGTTTGTAAGGAACCAAAGGTCAGAAAACAAAGACTAAAGCCAGAGTGAGCCTTCTTCACTACAGCACTTCACTGATGCAGCCCTGTCCTCTCACACAAAGCAATTTATCCTAATAACGTGATAATACTGGATCCTGGTAGTACTGGCATTTCTGTGGCAAGCAGAAGAACACTTAGAAGAAGTGATAGTGTACTAAAACCTTTTTTTTTTCATTTACGCATTTGTTTTTTGTTTTGTATTTTTTTGATGATGATGATGAAAAATACAGGAGCCACCACAGCTGGAAAACACTAGGGGTAAACTGGTGGAGAAGTGGTTCACTAAAAATTTAGGAGCCAAGTGCCTCAGTCTCACACAGTGGAAGTGGAACGCATTTAATAAAAGATCATTGGAGACCGTTTTTGAAGTTTAACCTTGAGTTGAAAAAAAAAGCACAGAAACTGAGATATTTTGTCTTGTTTGATAGCAATTACTGGCAACCTGGCAAGTCTAAAAAAATACTATATTCCCACATACCCCCAAAACAAAGAGCAGCCATTCTGAGTGTTTCTGGTTTCTGGAGATCACCTAAACAGTCTTCCAAGGGACTTCAATTGCTTCAAATGCATTGCCAGAGAAAGACAAGGACCTGGCTGCAGCGTATAAAATTGCCAGTTGAATTTTGCTGAGGCTACTGTTGATCATATTTTCTCTACTTTGTGAGAGCATTAAAGCACTGAAGCGTACCATCTTTCTTTTGGACAAAATTAATTAAAGGAGAGCAGAATTCCATCTGGGAAATCTTATAATCCTTCCACATGGCCAGATGGGCCCGGAGAACTGGGAAATAGACCTCTAACACAGGAATTCCTAACTGTGAAGCCCAGTTCTGTAACACTGAAAAGAAAAGGCAGGCAGATGATTAGACATGGAGAATTTCTGGTGTCCATCTTTTGTCAGACTAAAGTGTGGAGAAAAATCACATCTGACAGCATTTGCTGGAGAGGAAAGGTTGTCAGCGCTTCTTTATTGGGCAATCAAGAAAGTTTATTCTTGATAAATCGCAGAGACATTACAGACATTTCTTAAAAAATGACCGACAGAAAGCTGCTGTGAATATAACCATGAATTCAACAAAGATTTAATCCACTATAAAAGCTTCATTTGTCCTCCTCTTTTTATTTTTGAGCACCCATCTCCTCAAAGGTATCTCAACAATCCAATCGCTTCCACTGGTTGGACTAACACTGTTGGAATTTCTAAAAGCTCCTCTAGGGAGTAGGGATGGGTACCGGTGTCCGGTGCCATGATGGCACCGGTTCTGACATAAACGGTAGTAACCAGACCGAAAAGCAGCGCACATTTCGGTGCTTTATTTCGGTGCTTTTTTTTCCGGAGCTGTGATACACTTCTAGCCAATCATTTTACGTTTCCGAGGATAGTAGGCGGGGCCAGGTACGTATGTTCTGTTAGAGCAGAGCTACAGATTAAAAATGCCCAAGGTGAAGCGGTCAAAAGTCTGGCTGTACTTCACAGCAAAATATGCAAACTCAGCAGCCTGCAACAAGTGCTTTAAGCTGATACTGTGATACTGTCAAAGGAGGTAACACCTCAAATCCGATGAAACACCTGGCGACGCATAGCGTTTTTTTTTAAAAGCCAAGAAATGCGCTGTATTTGATAGCTTGCTGCGAGACCTCACACCGAGCACAACTACTGCGCGTGGGTTGCCTGTTATCAGACCCAGAGTTAGCAACATCCCCAAAAACACGAAGAGGAGAGTCCTGGCCCCTAGCCCTGCCAGTGTAGCAGAAATGATGAGGATGATGATGGCAGCAGCAGCCGTTCTTCTCTGCGTGAGTAACTTAATGTGGTTCGTGTGTAATTTACGTTGAGTAGGCTAACCACGTTATTACATTAATACATGTAAGGTGAAATAGCAAACATCATCATAGCTACATGCGGCTGTCTTCTTGTTTGATGGCAGATACTCCCTTCACCCTGGCCAGAAAGGCTAAAATGACCAAAGAAAAAGAGGGAAACGGCTAAACATGAGAGGTTTTTGGATAAAGTTTTCAAGCACTGCTTCCAGCCAAGAGTGATACCATATATGCCCCATAGCTGCAGAAAAGGCTAACATTGTTATCTTTTTACAAAAACCAGCTGAACATGAGAGGTTTTTGGACCAATTTTGTGTTCTCCATTCTTTAAGCACCGGTTTGAGCACCGTTTGAGCACCGGCACCGTTTCAAAAGTACCGGTTTGGCACCGGTATCGGATAAAACCTAAACGATACCCATCCCTACTAGGGAGTGATTAAGGAAAAATCAAATACCCACACGATTCACAGTTAAGATGATGTCAAATTCAAGATGGAACCCATTTAATCTGATAGAAAATACTTTCAGGAGTTTCTCTTGGAGACTGATGCCCATTATTTGACCTCATTTCAGAGATGCTTTGGTTTACATGTAGTTTGGGAGTTGATCACTTTTTGACAAAAAAGGGGGGGCAGACTTGTTCAAAGGAAACTTCTGACATTCAATGTAAATGAAAAAAAAAATACTTATAAAAGTTAAATGAATGTGATCATATCCCACCTGGCATTTCTCTATATGTGCTTATTCAGTCTGCTGGTCTACTGTTTTGTGTTTTTTTACTCTGTGCCTACAATCTGGCTGTTTGTGTTCTTTTGCTCTTTGACCTTGAGTGTTTCGGTTCTATATTCCAACAGGCCAATATCAAAGGGGTAGTAGAGAACATGACATTGGTTTTAGTTGTGGAGGATATCGTGAACTTCACTGGATTCATAAAAAAGAGAAGCTGTCAGCTGTTATTATTCCTGAAGGATCCAAGGACACACTTCCAAGTTTGGTGTATATTTCTTGGTTGGACCAGTTCTAATTTAATTTAACGCTTCCAGTGTTACATTGGTAAAGACAACACATTTGCACTTTTTCACACATACACATTAATTTTGATGTCCTTTCTTTTTGCTCCTGTTTTTTTACCTATTGTTTATATTCTCACAAAGCACTGCCTGACTTTCTCAAACTAATGTGTATAAACAGACCAGCGCATATTATGCACTGCATGTGTGCTTTGGACTCAGATAATAAGAATAAAAAAGTGCAGGTGCACTGCTGTCTTGGATATTTTGCTACAGTACAACACCCTGTTGTAATTTGTTGTGCCACCACTTTATCATGTAACTAATTATCACATTTAATGGGATTGTTTTCACTACATTAATTAATGTATCCCCCTGTGAAAAGCACCAACGACCACAGAAATCATGCAGATCCTCATTTTTTATCATGATGTTTAAGCTTATAACAAATTAAGCCATCATTGCTGCTTTTATAGTATGTTGTTTATATAGTACGCTGTTTTTATAGTAGGTTATTCTTCATTTCAGTACACTACACTGGCTGAAATGTGTCTAGATTATCTATGTGCAACTTTATAAATGTCACAGCAATAACTTAATATCTGTTGTGAAATATTATCCCTCTATTACTACCCATGATCCACAGGTTTAAAAGGTTTCCCAGAAAAGGGAATGAGTGGGGCCTGATGAGCTTCAATGACCTAAGCGACCTAAATATATCCCCAGTCTTGGCACAAGCTTGTAATAGCTGCCTTGATTAGCTTAAGAGGCTGAAAAGGAGAAGCACAATCATACTTGGCATTTTCTTCATGCAGAAACAAAACCACCGCTCCCTTTTTCTGTACCCTGTGAGTTACCTCTGTATTGTGGACGAAGGGCACGGTTGTTGGGGCAGTCACGGCCCTGCTTGCTAAAGTTGATATTGGTACGGATGCAGCGTTGAAGCAAAGGCTGGGTGGGCCGGGTGTTGTCGCTCATACTAAGGAATATCTTGTAGGGCTCATTCTGGCTGAGGAGGCGCAGGGAGTGCATCTGTGGGAGACATAAGATCAAATCTTAGTTCAAGAGCAAGCTAAAATGTCCTGAGTTCATCTTCAGCTTCTCTAGTGGCACTATGCTAGTCTATCCACCCATCTGCTGCTTATTTGTAGGTGGTGTGGACAGCTACCTAAGCAGGAACTGCTGCTGCTCCCCAGCAGTCCCATTCTCAATACTTCACCCCAGACCTTAAACTTGGCCATAGAGAAGAGACAAAAGCTTCATTTTCAAAGAGTGTGGAGAATCATCGCTGGTGATAAGAACTAGTATCAGTGAGGAGTTTCAGTGGAAGCAGTGCCCTAGCTCAAAACATTTAAAAGAAAAAAAAGTGTCCCACATGTTGACGTGAAAATGCATACATTTTTTACATCACATTTCAAAAGGACAACCTGCATTTGGGAGAGATCATCAAAAACATAATTCAGAATTAATTCAGAGTATTATTTGTGGAACCCACTAAACCTTGAATGATTTATAGACTGTGATTTCGATCTAGTCAATATATAATTGGAAAAGAAAATCAGTCAGTCAACACCACAGGACTAGAACAACACGAGTGAGCACACATGTAGAACCACACAGGGCTGAGTGGAAGGAGAAACACACTGTTCCATCTTATTCTTTCTATCTTTTTCTGTTTTTCACCTGCCTCCTCCACCACAGTTCTTTTCTCCCTTATTTCCACATCATGCTCTTCTTCTCTACCTCAAGCATTCTGAACTGAGGTCAGAGCTCTAACATAAAGAAAAGAGCATGAGCATGCACAGATTATTTAGTCACAATGGTGAGTGGTGCTTCGTTGACTCATCAACCTTGAGCATTTTAAGTGGCTAGGAGAAAAAATGTAAATATTGTTAAATATTTCATTGATACATATTTGTTTTAATCCAGATTTATGTCAGTATTATTCACATGCATAAATATAACATATAGTATATAGAAAAAACAATTCTAATGCAGACAGTATTTGAAACTGGCAGATTATAGGTGAGAGTTTTTTCTTTTTATTCTTATTGACCTGCTCTCAAAACTTTTTTTAAACACCTTAAAAAAATCACTTTTTAAACCACAAGTTTTTGTCATTAAGCTGAAGATATGATGAATTTGATACAGTTTTCATGTACCTACATCAAAATAAACCTCAAATATTGCTCAACATATTTAAAAGAATCAGAGGCCAAAAAAATGAAAAGTGCAGAATAACTTTGGTGCAACAAATGACTTGTGAAGCAATCTTGTAGTATTTTTCTGGTGGTTGCAGCTCATTAAATGGTGCAAACACTCAAACCCAGCCACGGGAAGGCCACAAGCCAGTTTATTCCTACTGCTGGTCCCAAAACGGGAATGGGGCGGTTCGCTTCAGGAAGGATCATTCACCCTAAAATCTGTGCACATCATAAAGAATTAAATTCTCGTGCAGATCCGGTGCTGCTGGTCTTCAGGATCACCCTCCAGGGTGATTTGTGGCATAAGGAGAGCAGCAAAAGTGAATCGTGAGACCTGGTATGATGAATGGTTTGGAGACAGTGGTGCCAACAAAAAGACAGACCTGGAGGTGGCTCACAACCAGTGAATGTGACACGTGAGGTAATTTTGCTTTTGTGGGTTTTGTTGCTGTCAGTATTATATATACAGGGTAGGATTATAATGCAGACCAGCCCAAAAAGATTTTTCCCCACACAGAAATAAAATCCTGCATCATAGTTCTGACTGCATGACTTTTATGAAACCATCACTGGAAATGGTATGGTTATAAAGAAAGGGGATGTTATGTGTGTGTGTGTCAAAATGAGTCAGGTCTAGCAACAAAAAGCAAGCTTTAATTACGCTGCTAAGAAAAGCCCGAAAGGCTGGCCCAAAAAAACAGGAAACCAAGAATAAAAGGAGGGCAAACTGATGGAGACACAAAATGGCACAAAGCGCTGATTGAACACAGAGATGAATAGATGAACACATCTGCAAAAGCAAACCGCACCAAGGGGGACGAACCAGCACAGGTGTGAAAACACCCTAAGTGTTAGCGTGTCACCTTTTTCTCCTCTCACTGTCGTTCCTTTTCCTGTTTAAGCCAACTTTTCCACAAATCAGCATTCTACCTACGCTAAACATCACTGCCATCAGACTACATGTGGAAAGAAAGGATGCTTCTGTACCCTTGTCAGTTCCAGCAATCCCGCCTCTCTGTGGTTGCCTATGCAGGACAATCAATCCCACATAACACATTAGCCAAATCTCCCATAGGTGTTCACTTTCCTAATCACCCTGGAAAAGACCACATGAAAACAAAGCGATCACACAGAACAGCTTGGATCTGCAGTGAGCCTTCCCTCTCATGAAAAGACTACAGCAAAGGGTTCCCAGCCAAAGTGATTTCTTCAGTGTAGAGCTCAATGGTTCAAATCTTTCTGTTCATGCTTTAATTTTTCACCAGCCTTTTAATGATCAAATTATACATTTAGTGTTTATACTGTTTGTATCATTCCCTTGAATCGTATGTTGTTGATATTTTAATCTGAGGCCTACTATTCAATTCAATTCAATTTAATTCAATGTAATTCAGTCCAATTCAGTTGTATTTATATAGCCCCAAATCACAACAACAGTCGACTCACGGCGCTTTATATTTCAAGGTAGATCCTGCAATAATACATACAGAGAAAACCCAAGAATCATATGACCCTCTATGAGCAAGCACTTTGGCGACAGTGGGAAGGAAAAAATCCCTTTTAACAGGAAGAAACCTTCAGCAGAACCAGGCTCAGGGAGGGGCGGAGCCATCTGCTGCAACCGGTTGTGGTGGGTTGTGGTTGGGAGCTGTTACTAAGGTAACAGTGTTGGCTGTGGCACAAAGGTTATTGTTCATGTACTTTTCCACTTCAGTTGTTATTTAGATTTTTTTTTGCATACTTCTATGATAATTCTGGTAAAGAATTATCAAAAGGATTTCATAATTTCATTCAAGTGGCAGTGCCACTGTCAAAACCACTGGCTTCATCTCTAATTGTTTAAATATGCTATTTGAATGATCAATTATTAGAATTCATATTTTTGCTGATCTCTCTCAACTTTTTACTCAACAAATTTGGACTTGTCACATTGTCTTTCCCTTTGGGGAGCACTCACTTTGTTTTTTCACTGTCATGGCTCACTGGGTCACCTAATTAAACGGAGCCGTCGTTAATACAGCTCATCACTGGACCCACTTCAGTTTGCCTACCAGCCTGGCATTGGAGCGGATGATGCCGTCATTCACCTCCTACATCGTTCCCTCGCTCACCTGGAGACCGCTGGAAGCACTGTGAGAATCATGTTCTTTGATTTCTCCAGTGCCTTCAACACCATTCTTCCCTCGGTTCTAAAGGACAAGCTGGTGAACTCTGGAGTGGACCATCACCTCACTACCTGGATCCTGGACTACCTCACTGACCGACCACAGTATGTGAGGACTCAGGGCTGTGTGTCGGACAGGGTCGTCTGCAGTACGGGGGCCCCACAGGGAACGGTTCTGGCTCCGTTCCTCTTCACCATCTACACTGCAGACTTCTCCCACAATTCCACCCAGTGCTTCCTGCAGAAGTTCTCTGATGACTCTGCAATAGTCGGCCTCATCACTGAAGCTCCAACCCGGAGGGCGGTGCACTGTTGGACGGACCAATCGGAGTCTGCGCTGCGGGACTGTTTTGATCACGCAGACTGGGAAATGTTTCACGTGGCCGCCAGAGACATTGATGAATACACAGACTCAGTCTGTGGATTTATCAGGAAATGCGTGGAAGATGTCGTCCCATCCAGAACAGTCAAATCCTTCCCAAATCAAAAACCCTGGATTAACGGAGATGTTCGCGCGGCACGGAACACCGCCTTTGCCTCCGCGAACACATCGGACTACAAACACGCACATTACCAACTCCGGAAGACGATCAAAGCAGCCAAACGTGAGTACAGGGACAGGGTGGAGCAACAGTTTGACAACCCTCGGAGTATGTGGCAGGGACTAAACACGATCACAGACTTTAGAGGGAAAACCAGCACACCGCAGACCACGGCCTCTCTGTGTGAGGATCTAAACGTATTCTACGCTAGATTCGACACAGCGAACACCATGAGACCGGACAGTGTGCGCACCGCGGATGACGTCAGTGCGCACACTGTGTCTGAGGAGGATGTGCGGAAGTGCTTCAGGAAGGTGAACGCACACAAAGCTACTGGTCCGGACGGGATTCCCGGCCGCGTCCTCAGGTCATGCGCGGCTCAGCTGGCTGGAGTGTTCACGCACATCTTCAACCTTTCCCTCTCTCTGTCTGTAGTCCCAGCCTGCTTCAAAATGGCCACCATCGTCCCTGTACCCAAATCCTCCACCATCTCCTCATTGAACGACTGGCGACCTGTAGCCCTGACCCCCATCGTAAGCAAATGCTTCGAGAAGCTGGTCAGGGACTTCATCTGCTCTGCATTACCCAACTCACTGGACCCTCTACAGTTCGCATACCGCCACAACAGGTCCACTGATGATGCCATAGCCCTGACACTACACACTGCCCTGTCACACCTGGAGAAGAGAGACACGTATGTGAGGATGCTGTTTGTAGATTACAGCTCAGCATTCAATACCATCGTTCCCTCGAAGCTGGACAGGAAACTGCAGGATCTAGGACTGAGCAGCTCCCTCTGCAGCTGGATCCTTAGCTTCCTGTCTGACAGACGCCAAGTGGTCAGACTGGGCAGCATCCCCCATCACACTGAACACTGGTGCTCCACAGGGGTGTGTACTGAGCCCTCTCCTGTACTCACTCTACACCTACGACTGCACAGCCACTAACAGCTCCAACATCATTGTGAAGTTTGCGGACGACACTACAGTGGTGGGTCTTATCACCAACGGTGATGAGACGGCTTACAGGGAGGAGGTCAGCGCCCTGACCCACTGGTGTCAAGACAACCATCTCACACTCAACGTCGCAAAGACAAAGGAGTTGATAGTGGACTTCCGGAGG